TATTATACTGTTAAATAACGTGAATCTTCCTGACATTATGGGAAGATAAAGTCACTTCATGACCTTTCGTAAAGGTATATAAACCTATTCCTTTTTCTTTCGGAAAGACACTTTGTCTTTGGTTTCTTGAAGTTTCTCAGTGAACTTGTCTTTCGTTTCCTCCATTCTCTCGGAGAAACGGTCCTTGGTCTCTTCCATTTTCCCAGAGATCCTCTCTTTGGTCTCCTCCATCTTCTCCTGGAGGTATTCCTTCACGGGCGGAGGAGTGGACATGTAGCCGTGCTTCCTCAGGTACTTCACGGACAGGGACGTTCCTCCTAGAGTCGCGGTGTACCTCGCAGGTGTGGCGATCTTGAGGAGATCAAGAAAATTAAACCAGCGTCACATTAACTTGAACTGAAAATAAGTTTGTTCATGTAGCGAGTGACTCTCACAAGGTTTGAAGTCAATGACATTCTAATTCTGAACCTAAATTGTCTTAAAAAGTACAATATGTAAGAATAAAATCACTTGCACGGTGCTATATATGTTTATATCTACAAAGATTCTACAAAAAGTCTCCAAAAATGTTATTTTATTTTTTAGAGAAATTCCAATTTTTATTAAGAATGGTAATTTTTAAAAATGTCGCCTGTCAATGACGTTATATCCGCGGCGCTATCCTCGGTTCACGTTCATGCTGCCATAGCCATGACGTAACCATGGTGACAGACGTGGACAACTGCGTAGTGCGTAACGTTTAGCAGCTTATTTCTTTCAAACATAGACCATGGCAAGCAGACTTTGGGACAAACAAGGAAAACTAAAATGAGGATCGATATCAGCGTGGCGTTTTTGAGACGCCGAGAACTCCCAAGTCCGTGACTAACTTGGACTGGAGACAGCTTTATTAGACAGGTGAGCAAATGTACATAAAACAAATCAATGTTATATAACGTTAGCTCAACATGATGAAATGTTAGAATATGGTCAGTGTGTTATTCTAATGTTGATCTAGCTTACTGCTAGTTTCGTATAGCAAATTAACTAACAAGTAGTATAACATTATAACTTTCAACACTGGGCCCTCTTGTGGCGAAAAAAAAAATCTACATATTGTGCCTTTAAAGGAGTAGTTCACTTTTCAAAAAGTTTTTAAGTTTTATAAGCACAAATGGTCGCCTTGCTCTGTTCTGTGATGAGCGTTCGTGACTCTCCTGTTCAAACTCGTTCATCAAAATGAACGAATCTTTTTCCTTTGTCCTTGATAAGACCCTTATTCATTGTCTGGTGTTGTTTAAAGCCCTTTGAAGCTGCTCTGAAACTCTCATTTGGACCTTGAACCTTTTGGACCCCATTGAAGTCCATTATATAGAGAAAATCTTGGAATGTTTTCATCAAAAACCTTAATTTCTTTTCGACTGAAGAAAGAAAGACATGGAGATCTTAGATGACGTGACATGACTTTTTTTTTTAAAAAGTGAACGATTCATAGTAATATGAATCACTCTTGAAGTTCTATAGCTGAAGGTAAAGTTTGCAACATTTATTTTATTCTAATTTGAACATAAAAAAAATCAACAATTAAATTATTAGTAAATAATTTTATTAAAAAACATTGTATTATTTAAAAAAAAAAAAAATTTCCCACCTTGTACATGGCATATGCCGTCAGTGCATAGCCACTCTGAGAGTTCTCCAAGAGTTTCACAACCTTGTCAGGAAACCCAACATACTCAAGAAATGGCACCAAATTCACTCCTCTAAACGAACAAACAAACAAACAGAGAAAGCAAGCATATTATTCCTTCTTCTTTTATTAAAAATCACATCTTAATTTTCTTAAAAGGACAATTCACCCAAAAATGTATATTCTGTTATTCATCCACCCTTATGTCATTCCAAACTTGTATGACTTTCTTCTGTGGAACATTGCAGACCATTGACTTCCATTTGTATGAAAAAAAAAAAAAAACATTCTAAAAAGAAAATTCTTTTTTAGATTTAAAAAAAAATATTTCGTCTGCTATGGGTATATGGAAGTCAATGGGGACCATCAACTATTTAGTTACTGACTTTCTTTAAAATATCTTCTTTAGAGAGAATTTCATACAGGTTTAAAACAACCTGAAGAGTAAATGATGACAATTTTAATTTTTGGGTGAACTATTCCTTTAAAACCTGTCGTGAAACAGCTTCAAAAAGCACATCAATTTAATAAGTGGACATTTTTTTTAGTCTTCTGATGATATTTGGCAACTGAGATGAAAAATAAGTATTTTTTTATCGTTTTTTTTTATATAAAGTTAATACAAAACATAAGAATCAAATGTTTAAACAGCTAAAATATTCAAGTGTGAAGATTAGTGGGGAACATATGACAAGGCAAACTGATAACTCGGAGCTTCTCTGCAGAGTGAGGTCATAGTGAATGAAATAGCCCATATTCAAGCATCCATTACCACCTCCCACATTTCTGAAACGTCTAGACAGTGGTGACCCACATTCAGCCAGATGTATTGCTGAGTAAACATTCCAGTGTGCCATTTACCTCAATCCAGCATACGCCATATACAGACAGAATGACCAGGCAAAAAGAAAATGATCTGGTCAACAGATTACCGCCTGAGAACCGACACATCGCTGAGGAAATCTGACAGACATTCCTTATTTAACTTTACGTTGTGCTTCTTTGTGGGATACTGGTCATATTTCTTCAGTATTTCTTTGACTTTAATAAACTAGTTTGAGAATATATTTATATTTAAATTTGTATACATATTTAAATCATTTTACATTGATTTTTTTCGTGAAAGTATTTTTAATTGAAATTAGGGCAATTAGTCTGACAGCCCAAGTCTTCAGTGCGAGACGCCCATAAAAACCCAGTGTTTTTCAGGTAGGCTAAAAACTTGGGTACAAAATAGCCTATTACTTATTCATTTTGATGTTTTTGAATGCAAAAACCAAGCGAACGTCATAAGTTGACCACAGACAACAAAATAATAACATTTAAAAAGCCAGTTCATGACCCCTTTAACGTGCATATTCCCATACTTGTAATGAAAAGTGCTTATCGACAACAACAAAAAAGAATACGTTTTCTGTCAAAATAAAAGTTTGAAAATAAAGAACATAACTGTGATCCATCATTTACTTACTTCATTGCAGCATAATAAAATGTACCTAACCACACTGTAGACGTCAACAGGTGCACGGGGATCATGACTTTGCCATACTGCTTAAAGGTTTTCTTGAATCTCTGAATGAGGCCGCTGGATTTGTCTTGCAGAGGGTCTGGATCCTCCTGTACTGGAGCTGAGTTTAACAGATGATCACCGCTGGTGTCCTTCTGAGAGGCCGGAGAGCAGAGCGCACTGAAGCTGCTGAGCCATCGTGGGTGTTTCCAGCACTGCTGCGGCCTCTGTGCGGTCCGGCTACAGGACGGAGGACGGATCTGTAGCAGGACAGCAGTCTGCCTGAAGACACTGGCACTCACAAACCGCTGCATCGCAAAACAAGCTTCTTCTCCCAAGGGTCTGTCAGCATAAAAACAAGAAGACAGTCTGACAGGGGCCTGACTTAAGGCGCAAGAACATGAATAATATGAATTAAAAAAATCCTAAAAATTAAAACAGATTGACAAAGGATCCTTTATAAATAATATAAATAGATGGCCATGCTCAATATACAGTAGGGTGCAAAAGCTTGAGACCACATTGATTGCATTTATAATTATTTTATTTAAATCCTGAAATATGTTTTAAGGATTTCAAAAATAATAAAAGGAACATAAAAAACATTTTTGCTAAAATTATAAATATATATAATTAATGACACTGACACTACTCATCTATGTAATTTAAAATAGAGGCGTTTGAACTAGATTTTAAGACTTTCAGACGCCACTGCATCTGTGAGCAACTCAGTATCTACCATAATTTACCTTTTATTTATTTTGGTGTAACACTGAGATTGGAAGCATATATATTTACATGCACATTTGTCCATATTTTCTACTGCACATTAAAATGTTTTGATGTCTGAATTCAATCGGAGCATGGAATTTCACTTATTTTTTTTGGATGAAAACAGTACAGAAATAAGAAATAAATATCGGGTATCATATCAATTTGACGTGGATTACTTTCTCTACCTTCAATATCCCATAGAGAATGAGGTCACTGGTGCAGGAACTGCTGAAAACATTAAGGAAAACATAATCTGCACATGCTCAATCACATTCAGAAAGAAACTCTGGAAATAATCACAGACTAACTTCCTACAAATCGTATTTAAAACTCAGATTGATTAGTATAACTTCACATGTGTGAAGTATCCTACGATAGACACCAAACGTGAATCAGCTAGCATTGCTAAGGGATGTCTACTGTCTAGTATCTACTAAACTAATTAAAGATTCACTCGTCCTCCTGACTCAACATACAGAAATGATACTCTAGAAATATGCAGTTACATACATGAGTGACTAGATCCGGCATGATGTGATTTTCCCACCACAAACACTTTAATGTCCCTTCTGTCATTCACAACTCCCCACAAGACGCAGCAACATTACACATAGTAACTGTGCTCGCACTGTGTTGTGGGAAATGTAGTCCAGTCGTGCTGTGTGTAGCTTTTCTCCCTGAAGCAATGTCGCTCTCTGGAACTACATTTCCCAGAATGCACGGCGACGTCGAGAATTTACAAGCGCTTATAGACGTGTTTTAATACAAAATAAATTAAAATGCGGTGATATGTATGTGTATGTGGGGAACAAGTATATACACGGAATTTTTCGTAATTTATTTAAAGAGAAAGAAAAAACTATTTCCTCCTGTTCCAAATGTAGGCTATACATACCATGTATGTACTATATCTGTCTGTGTATATTTATAATGATGTTACACTTAAGTTATGTTTAGAATAACATGCCTCCATTAAATAGTATTAAAAAAAGTATTCCAAGTGCAAATGCAAATGCAAGAAGTCCGCCAGTCCTCTAGGCGGCGCTGCGCTGGTTTTCTCATATAGTACTGCAGTGAAGATCGGGAAGTGCGCTGTTTGTTGGATACATGATGGCGCAAAACTCAAGTGAGTGCAGCAACATTGTTTCAGTGTTCATTGATCTGTTTGTTACACAATCATGGCGTTGAGCACACAAACAGTTAATGTGATGTATAATGTTGGTCTAATTTTCAATTAGACTCAGTCAGTCTTTGCAGATGAAACACGTGCCGAGACGGACGCTTGACATGAGCTGTTGTAATGAACTCAACTCTGACGCACTACAATTTTACGTTTATGTTAGTTTATCTACATAAACTTAATGTATAAGTTACCCATCCCATTGCTTACAATTTAAATAATTGAAATCACGACTTCTGATTGTTCCTTCTGTGGTCAATTACTAGTTTTATAAGGCGAATGCAAATTTCATAAAAACATAAATACTAATGCACTGCTTTTCTATGTACAGGATTGTTTGAGGCGGACAGTAAATGTGCTGATCCAAAGGACGATCAGGACAGCACAAGATCTTTAGATGGTTTCCAGACTTCATCATCCTCACTGAAGAGACACAGGGACGGCGATGAGGGAGATGAAGATCACTCTCACAGGAAGAAGCTGGTAAGCTCCCACCATCAGAATTGATATGTAATGTTCCATAGACATCTATTTATTGTTATTTATTTAGAAAAGGGACAGTGTACATTAATAAACATTCTTAAATGTAAATGTACCCAAATTAGCCCAAAGGCTAGTTTTCATTGGTAGTCCCTTTGCCAGATGTTATTAGGCTCTTAACTAGAAAAAAAGAGTTAAACATTACAGCAATACAACAATCATAAAACTAGAAGTATACAAAAAGACAATATATGAAGAGTTCAGATGCAAAAGCCTCTAAGTGCCATTTGAAATTTTCTTCTAAAATGATCATTTTTATCAAGCTTGTATATTTAAGTTCAGTAATTTCACTTAAATGACAATTAATAGGTAATCTTCATTGCCATTTAAGTGAAATTACTGAACTTAAATATACAAGCTTGATAAAAATGGTCATTTTAGAACAAAATTTCAAATGGCATTTAGAGGCTTTTGCATCTGAACTCTTCATATATATACAGACACAATTAAACAAAAAAATTGAAATTAAAAATATTTTAGTTAAATATGAATGAATAGGTCTATAATAAAATTAATAATAAGGTTAGTAATAATAATAATAATAGAGGAGCAGCGTTAATGTTCACAGTGTTGGTTATGTAGTAGCCATTTCTTAAGATTAAGTTTAAAAGAGTTAAATGATGAGCACTCTCTAATCTATGTAATTTACGTTGACTCTTTATAAACTCCAGGGAATTTTCTCTGGATATTTATTGTTTATTAAAATTGAGCTGTAGTGCTCAGTATGGATATATTTTTTTGACAGAAATAAAAACGAGCCGAGTCAGTACAATATATGTTTCAATAGATTTTACTGTTGTTCAAAAACTTGCAAGTTCTTCAGTTGTTTCCTTATAAAACTAAACTAGACAGGAACTCCACAAAACAGTTGTAAGTTCTGAAATTTTAGAGGCTTTGTTTAAAAACATAAAATAAATTGTAATGTTTCCTAAGTCTTGATTCAATCGTGATCATATTCAGTCAAAATTCAATATGATCACCCTGACTAAGGTTAATTATTATTATTATTAGTTCCACAACTTATATGTATTCAAAATGCATGAAATGTGTCAAATGTTTAATGGACCCTTTCCAAATGTCCTCAGAAGTGGAAGTCATCATAGTTTGGTACATGGCTGTGAACGGAAATGACAACAATTATCATTTTTGCACTTCCATTTGCTCCAATAACGAAAGAAAAAAATCCACAATAGCGTTTTTATAATTTTACAGAAGAAGGAAAAACGTAAAACGATTGATCATTTGCCGTCACTCCCTCAGCCATTGTGTTAGAAATGCATAAACAACTGTGTTAACAAGTTTTCTGCAATTTAATGGCAAGGCAATATAACAAAGTATAGCGTTACAAACATCAACAATAATAAAAAAAAAATGTTTGATGTAAATTTTTTATTTATTTGATGAATACAGGGCTCATCAAAAAATCACCTGAGTGTATTAAAAGTGGCAGCCTAAAATTAGAAATAAGCACTATTGTAATAAAACCAAGTATTCAAATGAAGCATTTTTTGCAATTGTCATTCAGCTCTGAATCTAGTTACTGAGAAAAAGTGCTAGTAGTAATGCTAACGTCTCAGTGTGCCAACTGATCTGCCCAGTTCAATACATGCTTTATTTTTGCAGGTCACAGACGAATCATTTCACAGTCAAAAAGTGGCCACACATTACAACAAACTTCAGGAGTGTGGCCTGGTAGAGCGTAATAAAAGCAGGATAGTCCACATGCGCAACTTCAACAACTGGTTGAAGAGCGTTCTTATTGGTGAGAAGAACACAGGCTTTCTTTCATCTCTCAAACTCAAAATGTTTCATGTCACCACCGTATCGGTGCCGTACCGAATTTGTGGTTGGGTTAGTCAGGCATGAGAATTATTAACTGTTCTGGGGTCTGTGTGTTGGTCTCCTCAGGGGAGTTTTTGGATAAGGTGAGGCAAAGACGGAGAGATATAACCGTGCTGGATCTGGGCTGTGGCAAAGGTGGGGATCTTCTCAAATGGAAAAAAGGACGCATTGATAAACTGGTCTGTGCAGGTAACTACACGATCCTCGTCATGCTTTCCTGTGTCTGTAAAGTTATTTGGTCCTTACACCATAAGTGGGCCATATTTTTTTGCTTTTCGAAAAGGTAAAGCCATACCTAACCAACAAAGTTTAAAAGGCCACAATTATTGCATGTTAGTGGTTTGCTAATAGTAAATAACACGTTGCTATGACATTTCAGTCCCTCCAGAATTTTGAATACAAACTCTGAGCAAAAAATGCTAAATATTATCGGCCAGTATATTGATCGACCACTAATTAAGAGCATTCACGCTATTATTTAGCTCTATCCACGTGTGATCAGACCATCCAACACTGATGTTAACAGCAGGTGTAAATGGCCTGACTTGCTCGTAAATGTATAAACTGCGTCCTTTTTAAAAAAAATGTCTTCATATTGGGAATTTGGGGTGGGAATCTTTGGTCACCTCACGATCCGATTCCGATTCTGGGAGTCACGATCCGATTCCAGAACGATTCTTTATATACTTCCCCCCTTTATTAATTCATTAGTTTATATAATTAAGTAGGCCTACTTTTTTAAATAATTACAAATTTTCTACAAAATAATTAAAAAGGTTGCATGTTTTTGTTTAAACATGAATTTTAAACTGATATAACTTCAAAAAATACAAGCAAGTAGCAAATAATAAAGAGGAGCATAGAAACATATAACAAAAAGTGCATTCAGTAGCCTATAGATTATCTGAACATTTTTCATTCAAGAACTGTGAGGGAATTTTCTTCATCTTTATTGCAGTTTTTTTTTTACTATGACAACATGGACTGCGGGAGATCTATTAAGCTGCATTCACGCACGCATCTCTTTTGAAATATAAGAAGTAATGTGGTTTGTCCTGTCCGTTTAATCCCTTAAGACATAACTGGCTGTGTTTACGTTAATTTTGCACAAGTAAATTAAACCATGGAGCCGCATGCGCGAGCAGTCTACACAAACAAAGCGCGCGTGAGGATTTAAAATTGAAAGGAGTCTTCTGTTAGTGAGGTTGATATTTTAAATATATAAATCCACTGCATTACAAACTTCGTAGAGCACTCATAAGGAAAATATATCGACGGGCGAGACAGCACACTTTAAGTGTAACATCAAACAAAGTGCGCGTCTCTCACACAGCGCGTGCAATGAAGCCTGTGAATGTCCTCGTAATTCGCTTTAATCTTTCCGAACTTTATGAAAGATTATTTTACGGATGGTTCGAGTGGTGTGTGTAGGCCTATGTGAGGAATTGGAAGCAAGCAGAATACGGGTGTTTCTAAAGCAAACTCAGCGTCGTCGCACATCTGGTTAAAAACTAAACTCATAATCGATTCTGAAATTTCCAGAATCGTTGGAGAGAGATGATATCGCGATGCAACGATGGATCGTTTTTTTTGTTTTGTTTTTTCTCCCACCCCTATTGGGAATCACACTTTCTTCTGTATTTATGATTGCACGTCCCAGATATCGCTGCGGTGTCCATTGAGCAGTGCCAGCAGCGCTATAATGACATCAGACGGAGGGGTCACCCAAACGACCGCACGTTCTCTGCCGAGTTCATCACCGCAGACTGCAGCAGGGTACGAGCCAGTGGGTTTTTTATTTAGCAGTGCATTTGTTAGAGGGATTCTGTTCATTTTCAAAAAGGAGAAACATGAAAGTCATAGGGGTCACACACTCTGTCTTTCTCAGGAGCTGCTGTCGGAGAAGTTGCGAGACCCCGAGATGCAGTTCGACTTGTGCAGCTGTCAGTTTGTGTATCATTATTCCTTTGAGAGCGAGCAGCAGGCTGACACCATGCTGAGAAACGCCTGTGAGAGACTCCGGCCTGGAGGATTCTTCATCGGAACAACTCCAGATGCGTACGAGCTGGTGTAAGCCCTCACACACACTCTTACTCCGCTGTTTTTAGTGTGTAAAATACATTTTTAAAATGGCACTGGTTCAAACTAGGCTAACTACTGCAAAAGTGCTTGGGACATAGATTTTAATGGTGATTCTTTTGTTTTTTGTTTTAAATCAAGCTCTCAAAAAAAAAAAAAAAAATGTAGATTTAGATTATTACATATAAAGAGATAATTAGTATCGACCAAAATTTTCTTATCTGTGCGTTCCTAGTATCTGCTTAAATATTTACACTACTGCTGTTGAAACGTTTAAGATTGGTAAGGTTTAAAAAATAAAATAAAGGCTGCATTTATTTGAACAAAAATTATTCTAACTTAAAATTTCTAATGTTTTAATATATTTTAAATTAATTTATTCCCATGATGATGCCAAAGCTGAATTACTAAAAATATCAGAAATGATTCTAATATACTTATTTGCTGCACAAGAAACATTTTCTTATTATTAGCAATGTTGAAAACGGTTGTGTGTCTGCTTTTTAATCTTTTTAACATTATAAATGTCTTTACTGCATCAATTTAATGTATCCTTGCTGAATAAAAGTATTAATAAAACAAAAATCTTTTTTACATGAAGTAGGAAATACAGTCAGCAAATAATTATGTTAAATATTTGTAATTTATTAATATTTATTTCGATACAGCAACATGACAATCCTTAGTATTATTGACCTACATATATTCTAAGTTTACTCTGTTCAGAACTTTAATTTTAGCATTTTGATGCAAACAAATCATTCAATCTGTTTTAAACTGATTCACTAAAATGGATGAGTTGAAATGATCTGCGTTTCCGCTACTAATGTTTAAATTAGGGATGGGCAACGATTTATCGCAATTAATCGCATCCAAAATAAAAGTTTGTGTTTACATAATATATGTGTGTGTAGTGTGTATAATTAATTTGTATATATAAATACCCACACATGCATGTATATATTTAAGAAAAATGTGTTATTAATAGATCAAATATTTATATTTATATATAATATTAATTGTGAATAACTATATATAAAATATATACATGCATATTTCTTAAATATATACATGCATGTGTGGGTATTTATATATACAAATTAATTATGCACACTACACACACATATATTATGTAAACACAAACTTTTATTTTGGATGCGATTAATCGTTGCCCATCCCTAGTTTAAATCAGAGATGTGTGCAAAGTATCACATGATTCACAATGATTCACAATGAAATGATTCACAATTCGCAACGCCAGCCACATAACTGATATTGCAGTTTATTCAATGATTAAACCTCACATGTTAGGAGAACAAAACAGTAATTTATTCATGTTAACCAAAACTTTCAAACTGATTGCTTTTAAATAGGAAGCGCTTGGAGGAGTCAGACTCCAACAGCTTTGGAAACGAAGTGTTCAGTGTGACCTTCCAGAAGAAAGGGGAATACCCTCTGTTCGGCTGTCAGTATGACTTCAACCTGGAGGGGGTTGTCAATGTCCCAGAGTTCCTGGTGTATTTCCCCTTGTTTGAGGAGTAAGTATCTCAAAACACATCGCGTCATCATGATTGTTACTTTCCTGGTGTGCCTGCAGAGGGCGCAACAGCTTCATAAATACATGCTTGATTTTTAAGTGTATTTCTGCTTCTAGAAAATTCTTATACAAACATATTATTCAACTGTAATGTTTATGTGTTGGAAAAAAAAAATCATCAATGATGAGTCTTTAAAAAAATTTACCTTTCTTTTTTTTTTTTCTGTCTAGAATGGCAAAAAAGTACAACATGCGCCTGGTTTACAGGAAAACCTTCAGTGAATTCTTTGAGGAGAAAGTTAAAGATGAGAAGAACAAGGTTCTGATGCAGTGGATGCAGGCGCTGGAGGTATGTGTGTCGGACCGTCACTGGCTTTTCATAATCGATGAATCTGCTGATAGATTATTTTATCTATTCAATCATTAGTCTCTTAACAATTTGATCTGGTGTTTTTGATTATTGCGAAACATTGCAACCACACATTTTGAGTGCTAAGTAGTCTCTCTAAAACGGAGATGCATCTTATAATGCAGTGTATGGTCTCATGAATAATTGTAACCACAGTTATAATGCATAATAATAATAATTAGGGCTGTGCAAAAATTAATTGCGATTAATCGCATCCAAAATAAAAGTCTGTGTTTACATAATATATTTGTGTGTGCTGTATATATAAATACCTATGCATGCATGCATATATTTAAGAATTATTTGCACTTAAATTCTGTATATATGTATATATAAATACATAATCTATATTATATAAATATTTTATATATGAATAACACATTTTCTTAAATATATACATATGTTTGTATTTATATATACAAAATAATTAAATACAACAGCACACACAAATATATTATGTAAACACAGACTTTTATTTTGGATGCGATTAATCACAATTAATTTTTGCACAGCCCTAATAATAATGCATCTTTAAAACAAAAAGAATATTCTATATTGGTTTAAAATGTGACAATCAATTTCAGATGTGACTAAATCTGTGAATATTGTAATGCATTTTAACTTTTGATGTAGTTCTTTCTAAAAAGATTTAATGCATTATGATGAATTCATTTATAATGCATTATATATAATGGCTTTAAGTAAAGTTATCAACATAGTTCTTGTAAGAAAGTAGCAATGGCTGAGACAGACTTTCATCTTTAAATAGTCAAATTTCGTGTATGTGATGTACGACTGATGATCCTGAGCAGGTTTGAGCTGACAGACTTGTTGCTATGACAGGAATGCCAGGATGAGCGTCAAAGAACCTAACAATCCTAGACAAGATCGTGTCAAATAGGGATGCACCGATATGACAATTTTGGCCGATACCGATAATTCTTTATATTTGAAAGCCGATAAATCTAAATCTAAATTTTTAGACAATTTTTGAGAGCCTGATTACAAAAAAAGTTCCTCATTAAAAGTCAAGATACAAACACAATTATGATGTTCTTATTTTAATATTGTGTAGCCGATATGACAGACTTTGCACTTTAACTGGAATTTCCTTTTTTTAAAGTGATTTCAATCATATATCAAGCAATTTAAAAGCATCATGTTGAACAGTGCACATCTAAACTGAAGGAAATAATACATTAGTCATCAGCTTTTAGATATCGGCTAAATGTTCTTGTTGGGCCGATAATGATAACATTAAAAATGATCATTTATTGGCCGATACCGATAATGTGGCCGATATATTGTGCATCCCTAATGTCAAATCGTCAATAGTAAAATCCAGACAGCAAAAGGAGAATGGGCCTAACTTGAACTGGTTTAGAATTTAGATTTTTACTACTTTCACTGTCAGCCAGACCTCTTCCTTTTCTTCTGCAAAAATTGAGGCATGTCACACACATTTTGTCATGTAAGGTATCGAATTGTCTGGCTTGAATACTGCTATTCCTGTTCTAAATGATGAGACATACAATTTTCGCTGGTGGACTATAAATTGGGTGAGTCTTAACACCGACAAAGAATATAGAATATCGTAGAGATTTGGGGTTTGACTCAGAAATCACTACTTATAGGCTGGTTGCTAGTCTTAGCCATGCCCTAGCAACAGTATAGTTAAATGAACTGGAATATCTCAGCACCATAACATTGAGGTGGGCTGTTTTGACTTGACTTTGACTTGGCAAGCAGTTGTACATATTACTCTTTGAACTGTATAGGCATGCCCTAGCAACCATAGTGTATCCTAGCAACATGCATATGCCAGATCTCAGCTCTACAAGATCATAGTGACATAGAAGTTGGCTCTTTTTTTAAATCATAGATAGGCGACTGAAAATATCACCATGCTAAAGGTGTGCAAATGTATAGCAGCACGAACAAGCCACATCTACTGTATGTACCAGAATATTATACAGTCTTGCAGTCACCCAGAGCAGTAGAAACTGCCTAGTAAAGAGTTTAATTTAGTGTTTCTGCTTATAGAACCATATCACCTAATCTTTTTAAACAGTTTGTCTTATCTTTTAATCTTGTTGTCATAGCAATACCCTCCGGACGAGAGGGGCCGACTGGCGTCCGACAGTCCAGGGGAGTATGATCATGCCAAGAGAATAGCTGCGAATCCTGCTGTTAGACATCCACTGGTGAGCCTTAATGTGTTTATTTCCTTTTCTTTAAAACCACAAAGAAACAAATCTTTGTGTTAATTGTGTTCTGATAGTTTGCTCTTTCTCCATAGGGAACCTTGAGCAAGTCTGAGTGGGAGTCTACAAGTACGTGGTGATGTTCTTCCTGTTAAACACGAGTGTCTTTTGATAACTGTTTTCTCTAAGGTTTTTCTGATTTCACAAAACAAAAAGATGTAGGATATTAATTCAAATTCATGATTTGTTTGATCTCCGTATTCATATGCTGGAAGTCTCTTTTTTTATTTACCGTAAAGCTCTGCCCACATACAAGCCAAGAAATGAAAGACCATAGCTGTGAAAACTCTTTTCTTCTATAGATGTAGTTAATTTAATTTAATTAATTTTTCCTCCTAGTGAAGTACAGCATATGGTTTGGCCATCAAAGAAAAAAAAAAGAGCTTGCACTAACAGAAAAGTAATGCTATGCTAGTACTTTCTTTGATGCACCATGTATAAGATGGATACGAATGTGGTACTATATGTCAAAATAAATTTAAACTATATGACTATATGACTATATGTCAAAATAAATTCGTTTATATTTCATGACAGACACATTCTCCTAACGGTCCTCTCTCTGTTTCTATGTACACTTAACATGAAAAAGTAAAAAAAAAAAAAAAAAAAAAAACAAGTGAATATTTTTACATTTATACAAAAAATTTTTTTTATCAGTTTCTAAAAAAAAATAAATATATATATATATATATATATAGCTGCACAAAATTAGAAATGTTTCTTGAGCAGAAAATCAGCACATTAGAATGATTTCTGAATGATCGAGTGAGACTTAAGATGAATAATTCATTTTACAATACATTTTTAAATAAACACTCATTTAAAATTTGAATAATATTTCACAATATTACTGTTTATTATATCAAATAAATGCAGTCTTTGTGAGCAGAAGAGACCTCAAAAGCATCAAAAAAATATTTTCGACCCTAACCTGTTGAATGGTAGTGTAGCTTTGAAAAGTTTAATTTATTTTATGAAATGTTTTAAACAGATTTAATTCAAGTTTGTTATTTATGGAGACATATTTAGTTAAATGCTTGGGTATATAGAATTTTATATGTTGTATTTAGTGTAGAGTAAAATTGAGATTTATTATTCACGATTAAAGGTAACTCTGGTTTACACCTAGTATCAACATTCATTTTGGGTGATGCATTGTATTTATATATATATATATATATATATATATATAACTATTAGATTCATCCATGTAAGCCGACTAACAAGGGTTTCTGAAAGTGAACGTGTAGTTGAGTGTGACAAAAAAGAGGTGTGGGTCTCCACCACATCTGAACAATAAAAATTTCTTAAATCTTAAATAATAGGCGATCTGGTGCTGGAATGTGAAGCGCATCTTAATTGGTGAAACCAGGCTTTCTTGCTCGCTCGATTTCCGGGAAATTGTATATGATTTGGATCCGCTATCAATATGCGGGAGGCTTCCGGGCCTTTCAGGAGACGTGGGATCTGTGCAATTTTGATTAGTCCACAATGAAGTATCATCAGGATTCACTTTCACATTTGTGTATTTCCATAGAGTATATTTTTGGTCTTAATTTATTTCAAAAAGTGATATTTTAGCAGTTTATTTTAGAACATTTTCCATGCGATGACCAACCACTCTCCTTCCTCTCTCTTTTTTTAGGCATATACCTGGTGTATGTGTTTGAGAAAATGTCATGAGTCTGAGGGATTCACTATCGAGCTGATGAGTGAGCCACGCTTGTGGGATCTCATTGTCATTCATTCGGTTTCCAAAAGCCTGCTGAGCGTGTCCATTCTGCAAACCATCAAATATTTTTATACAAACAGGGCTTTTCTTTCATGAGTGTTTGTTTTTCAAGTGTATTTTGAGCTTGTGTAAGGAAGTGAATACAAATGCAAATGCTCAATATTCTGTCTGATACTGTATTTCTGTTTGTCTTTAACCTTTTCACCCGCTACCCTTTCTCTTCAAGTCAAGCGATGTACTAACCTGGTAGATCTTAGTCATGCAGTCCGTTTGGGTTTTACTTTGATTGTGATCTACCCTTCCCTTCTAGCTTGATTGAACACTGTCTTGAGTAACAAAACAAAGCTCTGTCCATTTGTCAAGAATATTGTGTGAAGTTAAAACTAAAGTTTTATTTGATATCATGTTTAATGTGTGACTGGGCTGGGAGTGGAGGTGTGTCCAACTTTAATCCATAAAATCTTTTTATTTTTAGTTTTTTTTTTTTTTTTTACTTGTCAGTTGTTTAGTAATGATGGCACAATGCGTTTCTCTTCAAATGTATTTGAATACCAGAAAATATGTTTATTTCTGTCTGTACCCTTCTGATTTCAGTATGTAGAGTGCTAAAACCTGGTTTAGGAATATTAAACCTTGAATTACATCAATTGTATCCCTGTGTCTTTTAAGATTATTTTCAAGGTAATACGCACTTGCTGTATACACTCTCATATTACAAAAATCGAATAGTCACTGCAGGAAATTATATTATCATTAGTTAATATTAGTTTCCATTTCAAAGTTTTCAGAATTTTTTTAATATAGCCAGTAGAACATTACGATTTGAGTACACTTTAAAATAATGTATTCCTGTGATAGTAAATGCTACGTGGGATGTCCATATCTCAGCTCTGGGAGGGTCTAGAGCCTCCATTTTTGCACTCAGGTCTAAGTCTCATGGCCCTTTATCAGAATCCAGAGTTTTGAGAAGATTGGAGGAACAAGACAACGTACAGGCCTGTACTGTCTATCTATGGTACAGGCACATGCATGTTCTTTAGCGCGCATGTCGCTCTCTAGCGCTCAGTGTCGCTGTGGTCAGTGCAGGAATTACATGAGAGTAGCTCTGGGAAGAGCACAACTGTCACAAGCGTGCGGGAGTCAAAGCCTGTAGCTGCCTACGGATCGATTCTGTTCGCCAGGTATGTTCATATTTAGTAATAGATAAAAAAAAGAACATATAGTAGGATTTTAATGACCCGTATGAGTATTCGTGTGTAGCTGTGTCGAAAGATTTGGTTTTGTTAGTGTGTTTAGCATGCTAGCTGGCTAACCATATGGTGTCGTTAACCAAGCCCAGTATCTCCGCTCACTAATCTATCTCAACTCTTACAGTATGCGAGGTTTTACGTCTAATATTTAGTTTTTAGCCCCTGAATGTCCTTTTAAAGTCTGGATAATCGCCGGGTTGTATGAAATAGTGCTAAATGTACAGCTAATGGGCTATCGAGCCTCAATTGCATTGACAGCTAACTTAGCTCAGTCATAAACTGCTAACATTGAACAGTAAAACCGCCCATTATTGTGTATTGACACAAATATTATTTGTGATTTAAAAAATCCTGAATGCAACAATGCTGTAATAGTTGTTAATTAGAGATATTATTCTCCTTTAATATGTAACTAAAAGAGATTATGTATCTCCTGTAACCTTGTTCACTGTGTGATTTTGTTTCAAACAACAACATTAGCTGCCTTCCTGACATTGTTATTGGTTCAAACTGAGCCAAAGGCAGAACATGGTGTACACTAACTTAGTAAAATCTCTGATATCATATGCCCTCTATTAAGGACACAGTTTTGGATGAGTATTATCAGACAGCATTTTTATTGGCTCAAAAAATTATGGAATTTGGATTGTTGACTGAAAACAAACACACAGATAATGTCATGTTCTGCAATTGTTTCTTGTTTATTCTTGATCGCTGTGTATGTAAATATTTCGACTTTGTCTGACTGAGACCGTGTATGTTATTGATGTCATTTTGTCATCAATCCAACAGCATGGCGCGTGGACACCAGAAACTCCAGTCTCAGCAGAAAAACGCCAAGAAGCAGGCGGAGATCAAGAAATCCAAAGGCCACGACCAGAAGACCGCAGCGAAAGCGGCACTGGTGTTCACGTGTGGTGTCTGCAGGGTCAGTTGCAATTAAAGCAGGTTATTTTTACCCCACAGATCATCTTTGGAGCTTCTTTTCAACCAAATTCTATTGTTTTAATGTTTTATAATCACATTTCATGCACTATGGAGTTTTACTGAACATAGCTCAAGGAATGAACTCCTGTTTGCCCTGCATAAAGATGTGTTGTCTATATAAAGCTTCAAATGTTAAATATGGGTGTATACAGAGGGTGGTTGTGCTGGGAAATTTTGTCACCAAGTTAGAACTTGTCTCTGACTGTGAAAGTTATTCTCACTGTTGGTATCAAATCAGACTTGTCAGTACACCAACTAATTACCAGTAACTGAGAATCACACATGCATGAAAACTGCTTAAAGTCAAAATGAAATGGCGTTCGCAATGTTCAGAGAATTTCCCTAATAAGGTGCACGTTAATGGTTAAACAACTGATAAATACAATTATTTTGCTCAAAAAACATAATTGTGATTATTAGTCATACTTGTTCTCATTAAACATTTAATCAGAATTGTATAAGCTCAATTCAAGAGAACATCAACTCACGTGCAGGGGTTATTTTATTTACATTCATTATATTTTACCATTTACATCAACACACTCGTAACGTTGTTCAAACTGGCGAAACCTTAAGAAGCTTCTCACAAAAGCGAAAACTGTGAAATTCCTAAAATCAGTTCCTAATTATGTTAACATTTTTATATTCGTTGTATACATTGTATTGTAACACAAGTAAACATGTGAAGGAACCTATACACTCATTTGAGCAGAATTTGGCAATGAATTTCACCAAAGTTCAATGTGTGTTTGTCGGTGGTTTCAGATCACCAGCGCTTGCCTTGCACACATGCATATGGTTGGGAAGTTTTGTTTTCTTCACTACTGTTGCCTTTGACTCAGTTTTGGCTTAGTTGTGGTTTAAATTAAAAATAATTGATATTCACACTAATATTTAACTAAACTGACATTAGCTGTGTTTCCATAGAAAGTTGACAATTTAACTTAGCTTAAAATATCACATAAAACATTTGCAAATAAAGCAGCTTTTCCATCCTTTGTGTTCAAGAGAACAAAATCGCCACTTCATGGCAAATTGGTGCAAAATATCTGTAATATTCAGGGTACCTACACAGTTTGGAAAAGTATGGAATTTGATTTGAGTCATTTTCCAGGTCTGGAAAAGTATGGAAAAATATTTGTATTTCCAGACTATTGACTCTATTTAGTTTTCCATAATAGAAAATTACGAATTGAATGAAAATAAATGTATCATACCAAAGAAGTGTGTTCATGACAGCTGTTGAGTGATTGTCATTACGACTGAATGAATTCAAGTTGCACTTTTTCAAAATGCAAAAATGCAGATTATACGTTTTTTGGGTTTCTTCTCATGATATACAGAGCCACTAAAAGGATCTTTGCAAAATAAAACATAAAAACAACAAAAACAAAAAAACGGCCGCCATAGAGTATGTGTTAAAGCAGACCTAAGATCTAGAAATAGGATAATGTACTGCCCTAATGAAAGCCAAATTTTTTTTACTCACCAGTGTTTTTATAGACCATTAAACTTGGCAAATAGGACAATGCACACAGCCATATTGTGCCATCAGCCCATTTCCTGTCATGTTTTGTTTTTGTTTGCTGCCATGAAGGATGCATTAAATTGATATTAGAGGTACTACCCCAAAGAAAAGGCAAATTTTTAGCAAATGGGCCCAGATTTCTATTAACGCATGTGCGTATTTGCTTTCTTTTTCTTCATAGATTACGTTAGTAGATAAAACTAGAAATTGTAATGCATAATGGAAAATAATTCCTGTGCGCATGTAAATACGGTAGTTTTTCGAGGGCACGATAAAGTTTCTTGTGAGCGTGCAAAAGTCTGTTTATATACACTACTGTGCAAAAGTCTTAGCCACTTTAGTATTTTCACCCCCAAAAATGGTTTTAAGCCAGCTTTGTATATATTTTGCTGTAGTGTCTCAGCTTACATTTCCAAACATTCATTTTGCCATTAATGGTTATATTCCAGCGAGATTTTTGTTTCAACTAGGACTGACAAGAGCCGGTATAATCTGTACATAACTTTTCAGGAATATTTCTTCAAGAGTCTTGGAGATGTTGCCTCAATTCTTCTGGATTTAGTATTTTTTTCTGTTTCGTCATGCAATCCCAGATGGACTCGATTATGGTGAGATCAGATCTCCGTGTGGAGCATACTGGCTGTTGTCAGACTCCTTATGCATATAAAAATCTCACTGGGATATTATAATGGCAAAATAAATGTTCATAATGAAGTTGACAACATTAACACTGTTATTTCCCTGTTTTATTAATGTGAAGCTGCTTGGAAACAATTTGTAATCAATAAAACAATCAAAAAATTTAAAATAGAATAAAGTAAAAGCTCTGATTGTGGGATTTAAACTCTGGCAACCTCAAGAATGAAAACATTACCAGTGCAAAAGTCAAATGAAAGAATAAAAAAAAAAAATCTGGATAAAATTGGCTGGTCTATTTTACAGACGGTTAATTAAACAATATAATACATAATGTGATTTTTGGTCAAACCGCTCACCTTATCCTTCAGGAATTGATTGGATAATAATGACGTTGTGAAAAGTGTTCTTCGCCAGTAAATTCCTTGAGACATAATGTGATGAACTAAATAATGCAACCTCTTTGTTTTGCAGTCACAAATGCCAGATCCCAAGACCTTCAAGCAACATTTTGAGAGCAAGCACCCCAAGAGCCCCCTTCCCCCAGAGCTGGAGGGCGTTGAGGCATGAACGGCCAAGAGACCGGAGGCTGATTGTATAAAACCTCATAATAAGGGTCCTGATCTCAAATTTTGTTCAGCAGGACACGGTCAGTGCTCTTACCTGAGTTTTATACATGCATCCTCCCTTTCACCACAGACACGAATCCCGTGGATCAAAGACTGATGATGTTAAGCTTCTCGACACTGTTTCAGAGCACTTGCCTTGGCTACGATCAGATCGGTGCATTACCTCAGCCTGCGCTCACATGCTTTCCTTTCTCATCTTACTTGCGTAATTAAACGGATTGAGAGAAGTTAGCTGAACACTACCAGTGATTAAGTCAGTTTCATCCATTGATTATAAATGTGGTAGTCACAGATATATTTGCTTTTTGCTTGTTAGATAAGAGGAGTGCAAAATGATGGATATGGGGGCAGTTTCCCACTACTTGACGTTTAGCCTGGGCAAAAAGTTTTTTTATTTAATTTTTACCTTAATTTTCTCAGTTACTAACTTTGCTCTCCACTGAAACTCTTGTAGTCCAAAACAAATGTGGTTCTGTACACTGAAAACTGGATTCTAATGCGTTTCTGTAAAATCACTGGATGTGCCGGAGTAACTGTATTTTTAATTTAATCTCGCTGCAGAATTTCTCATTTCTCTTTGGAATCGTCTCAAACAATATCGCCTCAATGTTTGATATTCCTGTTCAAGCCACCTGGTTTCCACACCAATGTAATATATCTCTTTAATAAAATTTTACTTTGTTTAAGACGTTGTCAGGCATGTGAGGCATGTTTTCAAGTCAGTGTTGACCATTCTGAGAGTGGTGTTGTTGGTTTATTGTAAGTCAAAAACCTTGATCTAAACTAGTGATCTAAACAACAATGAAAAGTGTTATTATGCATCATTACCGTGGCAACAACACGACAGGTTATTAATCACAACACAATCAGACTAAAGTATTTTTGACCTAGAACTCATAGAGTTATAACTAAGCCTTTAAATCCATTTGCTTGATTAATGCATTTGAACTATTTAGTTATTTATTTAAGTTGCAGAGTCAAACAGAGGAATTTATTTTCTCTCTCTTTTTTTTTTTTTTTTGTAAAGATCATTTTAGTAATCAGTTTGTCATAATTGCTTCCGCAAGAGAGCTCAGGTATTTAACTGCAGGGTGCTTTTATCACATTCAGGGAACAATAATGCTTTCCCCATAGTAAATCACTATTTGTCCCACTCTCACTCAGGAGAATGCAGGTAGTCGATGATGATTAAGTGGAAGAACAGGAAGTTGCCCTGCAGGTTGAGACGAGTCGGGATGCTCCTCATACAGGGCACACCCTCCAATAGATCATTCTGATGGGAAGGCTAGTCACAAGGACTAGGTGAAATACAGCAGGACCCCCCACCAGACATGATTGGTATATATATGATTTTTTTTTTATGAAATTTTGCAGTATTTATGATAAATGACTTATCTGTGCACTTCTTTTTTTCCCCCCCTTATTTAATCTTTAATCAAAATTACTTCCCCTCACTTGCAATGACGTCTCTTTCCTGATCGCATTCACTGGAGCAAGGGCGGGTCAAACTGTCACTCACTATAGCAAACCACAGCCATCCAATCAATTCACAATGGACAAAATCATGTCCCCAGTCCCACCCTACATTTTAATGCTGAGTCGGAGTGTAAAAAGACCTGAAATTGTTAAAACATGATGAATTACAGTAGTTAAAGGAGTAGTAAAAAAAAAACTTTTGCTGATAATTTACTCACCCCTATGTCATCCAAGATGTCCATGTCTTTCTTTCTTCAGTCGAAAAGAAATGAAGGTTTTTGATGAAAACATTCCAGGATTTTCTCCATATAATGGACTTCAATGGGAACCAAACGGTTCAAGGTCCAAAACACAGTTTCAGTGCAGCTTCAAAGGGCTTTAAACGACACCAGACGATGAATAAGGGTCGTGTCTAGCGAAACGATCGCTCATTTAATAAATAAATAACAAAGTTTAAGTTTTATAAGCTCAAATGCTCGCCTTGCTCTGTTCTGTGATGCGCATTCGTACTCAAACTCGTTTATCAAAATGAATGAATCTTTTCCCGAGTCAATTCATTCATTTCGTTCATTGAATGAACCAAATTACACGAAAAAAGATTGGTTTATTTTGATAAACGAGTTTGAGTACGAATGCGCATCACAGAGTTTGAGCAAGGCGAGCATTTGAGCTTATAAAACTTAAACTTTGTTATTTATTTATTAAATGAGCGATCGTTTCGCTAGACACGACCCTTATTCATCGTCTGGTGTCGTTTAAAGCCCTTTGAAGCTGCACTGAAACTGTCTTTTGGACCTTGAACCGTTTGGTTCCCATTGAAGTCCATTATATGGAGAAAATCCTGGAATGTTTTCATCAAAAACCTTAATTTCTTTTTGACTGAAGAAAGAAAGACATGGACATCTTGGATGACATGGGGGTGAGTAAATTATCAGCAAAAGTTTTAAAAAAAATAAACTACTCCTTTAAGATTAAAAAAAGCTTTATACAACACTGAATTGAATATCAAATTGACAGATTTTTAGTGAAATGTACCTTTGAGGTATGACATGCCAAAATCACTATTTTAGAGTTTTTTAATTAGAGTTTTTTCTCACGGTAGGTTAATTTGATGTTAAGTGATAGTTTATCAATCATAGCTATGTCACACAAGCATTTTGGGATTTGTGGCTCTAGTGTATAATTATGGAAAGTGGGAGATTAATTTCTTAGTTTCTTTGTTGGCAATGCACAACTGTGTATTATAAATTGTCTGTGGATTGAGCTGATTTGTGTAAATGACCTCAGATAAATCTCTAGTCTGTGTCATCAATGACTCACCAGTGACAACGATGGTTTATCGCAGCTGAACATGTTGAGGTAGGTGTGCCTGTGGGTGGGGTAAAAATCCTTATGAGTCAAAATCTTACATTTGAGAAAGTGTAGCTTTTTTGAGCAACAGTAATCATCTGTTGATAGTCGCAATATAACTATTACACCACTGATTTAACATTGAAAACCATGCCAACAGGATTGAGATCTGGCTACAATCATAAATTGGGTTGTAATATCTTTACACGACTTTCCAATGAGAAAATGTGACCCTGTTAAAAATTAGAACATGTTCTCTTTATGGACCTCGATGGAAGATAATTGAGACTCTGCTTTTATTAATATCTCATTCCTCTGCTCCAGTTTAGAGGGCGAGCTGCTCTGACAGCGTGTTCAGACCATGTATCAGATCAGACTATATTGTCTTCTTTCCTCTGTTTTCATACCAGACACTGTCTAGCAAGCATGTCTGACACATCAATGTCCTCTGAGTCAACTATTGTGCTTCATTATGATTAACACCCAAGTACATAAGTTGTATACGCAAGACAATTAAGCACTACATGCCATGTAAATCAGATAAATCTAAACAGAGTATTTCACCAGTGTCAATAACATTTTGATGCATGACTTCACTATAGAAGACAGAAGCCATTTATTATACAAATAAACAAAAGATAATGGTTATTATAAAACATTTTAAAAAACAAATTAATGTTAACTTTTTTTGTGTATAATCATACTTTTTAGATTCTTGTTTTAAATGGGAGTTTTCATATTTTGGGAGGAGTAAATCATTATTTTAATATGTTTTGTTTTAAATATGAATAATATAAAAATTTAATATTTTATATATCAACATTTTCTTTTGATTAATGTGTTAAAGGCATAAATTACATATAAATACAAACAACTGTATTTAGTGTACATTTTTATGTTTTTAAACATGTATTACATTAGCTTTCAGAATTTCATTTTATGTGCATAGTGTTTTGGCCGTTTTTTTTCCTTCTCAAGTATGAGCTCCATATAATTAATCTCATTATATACTACATGGGCCATAAAAGACAAACAATTTAGATTGCCTACACAAAAACCTGGTGTATCAAATATGACATAAAACACATATCCAAACTTTTTAATGAACTATTTAATTTCAAAAAGACTACTTCATATAACAGGGTTTAGTTTATAGGGTTAATTTAAAATCATAATTTCTCCCCATTTAGATTCATCTCAGAATCAAACGCGCTCGAGGCTCTCCTTGCAGCCATAGCAGCGCACGCCAATCAAAATTCCGGTTGCCTTGGCAGCGGTTGACGTCATGGCCCCTGCCCAGTCCCTGCTCCAGCAGAGTACGAGTGGGACGGAAACCCCGTGGATCGCACGGGAACGCTGTGCTGCGCGCCACAGTCAGTCAGTGAGTGGCAGCTGAACTGTACAGCCGGAGACAGACTCTCATTCACAGGTTGGCTTACTTTCGTTTCATTTTACTCTTCAGTGTACCGTTGTATAAATAAGAACTGTGTTTCTTTGTTCCGAGTGCTCATTTTAACCGAGCAATTTCTATCACGCGAAGCAAATGTTTTGCCGTAGCTAACGTTAAGGTTACTTGTACAGGGATGCTTCGAAGCGTTTGCTTGAGAAACAACTCGTGGTTCAGTGCGGATCATACCAGAATTAAAAGTTCGCCGTGAATTGCTTATTTTAACGCAGCCATGGCTGTTGTGTCACTAAATAACCCCGCTGTTTTCCGCATATCCCTGTTAGTGTTTCAAGCCGTTTCAGATTTCCAGACAACGGAAGGATGAGTCTTCCACCTCCGCACTGAAATCTCACTTCATCTGTTATCATTCACATGTTATGAACTCAGAATATAAGTGTAAAATTGTGATTTATCGCTTTGAAGCGTAGTCCTAGAGGACATCTGGCAAGCTAGATCTTGTCGGGCACGTTGGGTAAAAAGTAGGGCGTTTACCTCACTGCTTTACTACTGTGGAGTTCCTGTCAGTTGAAGGTATCGACCGTGTGTATTTGCTTATGGAAATGATAACGTTAGGTTTTTTTCTCCTGGTCTGAACAATTGAATATGTTCTCTTAGTCTGAAATGGCATTGGAAGATAAAATGTGGCAAAACCCCAGTTTAGCATTGGTTTCGTATTGAGACAAAGCGGATACTAGAAAAGTAACGTAATGTCAGGTAAAGAGCGGAACGCACTCGATTGGACGCGCGCGCGTTGGGCGGGAGCAGTTCGCACACATAAATCCCCGGATGGACCGTGATCAGACTGGATATCAGCTTTATGGATAGATCGAGGTGTCTTGTTTAAACATTGTGCGCTGGTGTGTGTGGACTGGGCGTGGTCGCCGAAGTCATATCCGCATTTTTCTTCTTTTTTTTCTTTTTTTTTCACTCTATCACATATCCTATGCAAAGTAACGGTTTTGTATGGACTTGATGTATTTTCTATAAATGATTAATCACACTATTATTATTATTATTATTAGTAGTAGAAGTATTACATTTTAAATCATGGAACTTCATCTCACACTTGAAACAACAAGTTGCTCTTCTCTTATCAGCGCGGGGGCGGGGCAACCTGTCACTCACATGAGATCACAGCAATAGAGCATCACAGTCCCGCCCACAGCCCGAGAGAGCGTTGGTGCCGGAAGTAAATTTCCCATTAATTTCTCCCATTGACGTTTTTTTAGAATCCATATAAAGAGTTTTAGAGCATGTCTGAGGATAACTAAAAGCTACAAGAGCATACAACATATCATTTCGAGTGAAAAAATGAAGAGAAAATCCAAAAAAAGTCAAGGGTACAAGACTGTACATATTTTCATTTCGAGCAAAGGAACTACTAGTCCCATAAACCACCGCGCCTCACTGAAATCGATTGAAGCCACCGTGAAAAAGCCTTTTGAGGGACTTCCAAATCTGACGACGGCCACGTGAACTTTTTCCTCCAGTGAATTTTATATAGTGAATGTGCAGGGAAACTCCTTTTCCTCGATTTACTGAAGCTTATATGTAAAACGCAGCTGCACAGCCAAAACATTGAGCATGTGGCTCACTCATAGGCTGTTCACATCCAATGGCGCATGGGAGTCTCAGAGGTGCGACCAATGAACTAGGCCTACGTCATTACGCGATCTTCAGTCTTCACGCACCTTCACGTGGTTTAACCAGACAGTTACATGACTTCCACCAATGGGATGCATTACTGTGGGATTGTTCAGGATTGTGGGTAATGAAGTATCCAAGACATTGTGAATTAAAGGCATTTATCTTAAAACAAGGTTAGTGCCCGATTAACTTTTGGCATTTATATGAGCATATACAATCATTTAGTACAGCCGTAGCTGGTTTTAAGTCTACCATGTATGGTTACGTTTTTATGGCTTATATCCCAAATGTCAATGGACTAAATTGTATTGAATTCTTACTTCCGGCACCGGCTGTGGGCGTGACTGTGTTGCTCTGTAGCGAACCACAACAATCCAATCAATTACAAATGGACAAAATCAAGTCCTGCACTACATTTCTTTTACATACTATCACAGCTTCTGTTTTGTGACTTTAAAGCAATAGTTGTCATTTACTCGGACATCTTTATGAATTTCTTTGTTCTGCTGGACACAAAATAAGTTCTTTTGAAGAACATGGGTTGCCAAACATGGGATCCCATTTATTTCCATAGTATGGAAAACAAAAATACCTTGAGGTCCATCTGCTGTTTGGTTACCCACTGTTTGTGCTCAGCAGAAAGAAATTCCTTCAGTTTTCGAACAACTTAAGGGTGAGTAAATGATGCCATCATTTTAATTTTTGGGTGAACTTTCCGTTTAAGGCCCTTGTTTTTCAGTTTTACATGATAATAGCTCCAATAAGTCAGCCAACATTTCAGCATTCCTGCTTGGATTCACTCAATTCATAAAAGTAATGTTCACTGAAGTGAGCTCTTCCCTGTGTCAGTGCTAGGAATAGATAGATTTTCGCCTAATATGGGCATCTTTACCTTTATGAAGCCATTTTTAACCCAATTAAATCATCTTCTGTGTTTCATTCTTACATTTAATCAAGAGATTTAATTAGATTAATAAGACACTATATGGATGTTGCAGGGTTTTTCCTGGCTCAAAACGAGGCGGACCATCATATAGCCTACTGTGTTTCTCACAGTATTTGTGGGTGGAGGTCTGTACCTAGTTTGACTTTGACCTGCCGATATCAATTTTTACCCAATTCGATTTAATTTTTTCTAACCACTTTACAGCACACACAAACATTTATTTTCTTTAAAGGGGACATGTCATGCAAAATCCACTTTTTTAGCTCTTAAATGCATTTTGTTGTATATTTGGAGTGTTTATAAGTACAGACAAGATGAAATTATTCTCTTCAGGTGCTTCGTTTATATCTTTATATTCTGTTTTGGTCATATTTTTCAACCTGTTCAGATTTTTCTGTTTTCTATAACATTTTTTGAACAATTATGTCACAGTATTTGCAGCGGAACTGCCAAATAAGGACATTGACTACCGGCCCAACGGTTTATTTCTCGCTCCGATTTTGTAGTCCAAGCTCAATGATGCAGAAGTTACGAGAAGGCAAGTCAAAATGTTCGGTTGTTGGATGTTGTGACCTGAAGCACTTCAAGGATTTGAACTTCAACAACCTCCGCCAGTATATAAGAAAATAAATATTTCTGTGCTGTAAAGTGGTTCGAAAAAATGAAATCGGAATTGTTTAAAAATAAGTATCAACAGATGAAACTATGAAAAATCGTAATCGGCCAAGAAATTTCTAATCGGTGCGTCTTGTGGCTCCTGCCAATGGAATTTTAAAACGTGGAGCCATTTTACCATTCAGATCAGATGGATCCTTAAGTGATCATCTCTTACCCTTTAGTTCAAAAAGCACCAAAGATTCAACATGATAGTTTACCTTTTCAATCAAGATGTCCAATTAACAACATATTAATTGATCTTTTAATTAAACTGTTTTTTTTTTCTTATAGAACCAAGCAGCCATGGACAAGAGCCAACAAGTGCAGAGAGCCAAGCTGGCGGAGCAGGCCGAACGCTACGATGACATGGCTGAGTCCATGAAGCAAGTAACCGAACTTGGAGAGGAACTGACCGACGAGGAGAGAAACCTGCTCTCTGTGGCCTACAAGAATGTTGTGGGCGCTCGCCGGTCCGCCTGGAGGGTAGTGTCCAGCATCGAGCAGAAAACTGAGGGCAGTGACAAACAGCAGATGGCTAAAGAGTACCGTGAGAAGATTGAGACCGAGCTGAAGGCCATCTGCAAAGACGTTCTGGTAAGCTTTGAAAGGCAAAGAACCACTGATAGGATCATAACAAGTACAAATAATGAATAAAGTCTTGTCAGCAGGGTTTAATTTTGGTCTTAACCAGAAAAAGGGTTGAAAAGTACTAGTGTTCATTTTGTGAAAAGAAAACAAAAAATTACAATTCTGGAACGGAATAGGGTTGTCATGGTGCCTTAACAAAAGCTATTGTAACTATTTTGTTGATTTATTTTTTTATTTATCTGAAAATTATAAATAGTAAATTAGTGTAATTAGTTTATTTTTAACTCTATTTATGAGTAAATAATCCATTAAAACATTTACATGTAGTCTTCAAATATTGTTCGGTTAAATAAACATTTCTTAAGGCTTGCTGCAACAGTCAGTGTTACACGCCACACACCGATTACATAATTTGCCCAGCACAGAACCGCCTCCCACAGTCATTAACATTTTTTACAGTAATAAAAATAATTTAGTTATGTCAGAGAACAGACACTACCATTAAATACTGAATGGGTCGTCTCAATGTCTCCTCAATGCAGCATGAGCCGAACAAGAGTCGCAACACACAACACAAAAGATTGAGGAGCTGACTAGTATCGGTACTGAAATTTTAAAATGTGACGCTTTTAGCGCTATTGAGCGGAATCGTCATCAAATGTTTATGATTGGCCACAATGATCAGCGCTTCAAAAACATGTTGTAAATGCACATCAATGTACACCGGTCCACTGATAGACGGCTGCTTGTGCTTTCAAAAGCTCCTGCTCACGTTTAAAAAAAAACAAACTTTCAAACACTTCTGTGTGCTCTCAAACGCTCCCGTGCGTTGATCATTTTAGCCAATCACAGACATATCCGATGAACGCTTGAACACAATGGCCAATCAGAGGTGTTTACGATTTTGCTCAACAGCGATCAAAGCGTTACATTTTTTAAATATTTCAGCACCGATTTGGTATAGAAGTCTAAACATTAGAGCTGACAAGACAGTGGCAGAAGATTTGGTTTTGAGGTAAAGATGCAAATTATCGATTAATTCATCAATCGCTAGTTGATCGACCTTATCGATCGATTAACTAATAAGCAGCTATTTTCCTGCGAATGTAAATTTCTCTCTATTAACATAAAAAGCTAAATGTTGCTTATACTGAATAAAAATGCGTGTTATATTGCTCAATTGATGTTTTATTGTAACAGTTGGGATACGGTACAGATAATAGCATTTATGTAATGTATCAAAATAAATTATGCACAGAAAATTAATACATAAAAAATAATTGTGCACTGGTTCTCCGGTTGCATGTGAAAACGTGAAGCGACAATATACATTTTAAATAAAAATCTATATGGATAGGCTTAGCCTACACTATATTAAGCCTACATATAATAATATATCTGGTAAACACTTATGTAAAAAACTTGACGCATTAGCAGCAGCACTTATAATCCCCCTTGGTCTGAGAAAGGGAAAAGATTACTAGACCTGGAAAATTAAAATATACAACTGAACACAATTTAAATCATCCCTGAGGAAGGTGACAGTAAAATTAGAGGCGCTGAATTTCCCATACATTCATTTATTTGTGGAGGCCCACCACAATATCAACACTGACCGCCACATTGATTTTTGATGTACTTTTTTTTTTTACTAAGCCTATTTTAAATAGAATTTGATTGCAGAGCGCCGTAGTGCATTCGCACAGCACTATTCGCGAAACTGTAACCTCTCGCGCTCTCTCTTTGTTGGTTATAACGAAATAATTCGCGAGCATGCGGAGCTCACGCTGAACAAACTTTTTTTTGATATTGTCCCAGGTTTTCAGTCAGTCAGTGGTTAGAGGTTGTCGGTTTTGCCCAAACTGTTTCCAGAAACGCAAAACAATAAGCATTTTCTTTAAATGATCAACAAATCAGCTCTTGGTTGCAAGAGTTTTTATTATTTTTTTTCAGGAAACTGAAAGTGAAAATGGCTCTGCTACTGAATAAGGCATTAATGGATCAGACAGGACCATGCCCTCTCCGGGCTGTTTTAGTTGGGTTTTTGCCGGAGGCGTCTTAAACGGTGAAACACGGAATGTTTTGCTTTGCATTTATGACATTCCTTCCCTTTTCCAGATGTTATTTAGACTGTATCCACAAGAATGTGATGTTTAATCTGGCAGTAGGAGGGTAATGGGTTGAAATTGGCTTGTACAAAGGGAGAACCTGCTGGACATTACATCTTGTATCCTCTAAACAACCTTCAAAAGCTCTAAGATGGAGAGATAAAGTACCATCTTGAAGTTATCAGGTGCTTGTGTCTTCGCTGGTAGTCTCAGCCTCTGTTGTCATGCCCACGGACCATTGGCTGAACGTCTGATGCAAATGGCACACAAAATTGGATAATACCTCAGGGATTTCGAAGTCGTCTTCTGATTTCTGGGAGACATGTCATGTTTTTTAACCTCCACCTGGAAGTAGGGTTGGGCGACGTCTACCAATTTGGCATCAGATGATGTCTACAGTAAAACATCGCGATGGACGATGTCATGAATATTCTCCTTTTCACTAGATATTTCCCTCTATATCTCAACAGCAATTTCGATTTCAATGTCGATGCCGTCTAAACATTGATGTCTGTCAGCCATCACGCTGTCTGACGCCAAACCCGCTTATGGAAGAAGAAAGCCGTTCTCTTTACAACTGTGACACAGAGCGCTTATCAGGATCAACTAAATGCTGGATTTTCAAAAGTATGTGAAGTATGTAAAGTTCATGGCACAGACTCTTTAAAATACGTCCAAGAGTTTTACCCTGGCATATCATTGTTGGGACATCGTTACATTTCATGCCCCTTAGCATGACGCGGAACAAAACAAGCTATTATATATATATATATATATATATAGTAGGGGTGTAACAATATATCGTGCCACAATATATCGCAATACAAAAATGCAACAATACGTATCGTGGATAGTGACAATATGTATCGTGGATAGTCCCCCCAAAATAAAAATGACTGTGTGAGAAAATTCAAGTTTTAAGACTTTTAGTGTCAATACTACATTAAACTACTATATATATAATGTTGATTATAATGTATAATAATGCAATGGGGGAATATTTGTGGGTCCTGATAATGCCAAATATCTGATGTTCCCAGTTAAAACTGTCCTAAATTATTTTAAATATATCGAGCCAGTGAAAGAGTGCAAGCATATTCATCTAAAATAATTCTGTATTTTCAGCTTCAGAATCATGAAAATTGTTATTTTCCTAGGGTTTCAGCACCAAGTCCAAGCCTATTCATTTAAACCCACAATATATTAGCATTTTAATCAACAGTACATTTTTTGTTAACCTTTTACCATGTCTAGGAGTATCGCAAAAATAACGTATCGTGAGTTCAGTATCGTGATATGTGTCGAATCGTGACATGAGGGTATCGTTACACCCCTAAAAAATAGCTATTCACACCAAGTGTGACGATATCTGATGTCTCGCGGTGATGCACCATCTGCAAAGAAAGTTTAACATTAAGATGTCGCAAACACCCATGAACAAGGACAACTGAGAGAAGTTGTGTACATAATTGTTTATGGAACAAAATAGAAATCTATAGAAAAATGATGGGCATTCATTGGGCAGAAAGTGTGGGAATTTGCAACCCTTGTGCTTGTTCTGACAAGTAGTGTGTCATCACATTAGTTCTGCTGTTTTTCAAGCTCAATATTGCGTTATTACAATTTTACTGTGACATCCTGATATGTTATGGGTATTCATTGGTTGGACTGTGAAAACTCATATCTTGTGCCTAAGATGCACAGTTTTCAGTTCAGTTTCGTCATCTTTGTTCATCCTGGTTGATGGTGAATGATGCCAAATCTTTCTGAAGTCCCTTTTGAAATCACCTGTATTCTCATACTTTGTGTTCAGTCAATTGCGTTTTTGATAGTGTTACAATACCAAAATTATTGTTTCGATACCCATACCAAGTCAAGAATTGCGATTTCGATACTTTTCCTGAAAATGAAAGTAATTGGATTGGATTAGCCTTTATTGTCTCCTGATGGAGAAATTCATCTTTGGCATTCGAGATACATAACACACAAAACATGATTTACATAAATTCACAAATTATATTAATGTTAAAAATGTTCTTACAATGTATTTCTTACAAGGCGTTTCCTTTGCATCGGTCTGTGCTCTTTAAATGCTGTAATAACCTCATATAAATAAATCACTGACTGACATGCACATGCTCTGATTATAATCACATTAAACGTTACACATTAATCAGTCTGATTATACGTTACTGTCTTGCACTGTGTGTTCAGGTTCATGTGTCTCTCATCCACAGCATCTCCTAGACAAGTTTCTGATCCGCAACACTTCTCCAGCAGAGAGCCAGGTGTTCTACCTGAAGATGAAGGGAGACTACTACCGCTACCTGGCAGAGGTCGCCACAGGAGACGAGAAAACCAGTGAGTTTCTCTCAAACAACATTTATTATACAAGATGCACAGTACAATTTATTTTCATTTGAGAAACGGATCCAAATATTAGATGGCCTTTGGTGTTCAGCACAAGCCTCTGAACGTGAGAGTTATGCACACACATGCAGATTTTTGGGAGTTTTGTTAGCTACCAGTGGAACAGGTCTTTACTTGTGCTTCCACACCCTGAATGACTGATTATTGAGGGAATGTTGCACAAAATCTTTTAAAACAGAAATAGTTCATGGCTCCGAATGTACAATATTAAGCAACGAGATGCACACACCACACACCAGGGTTGCATAAAATACTCAGCTTTTCAGTACAGAATGTTTGGTCAACTCATTTTATTTTATAATTCCACTAGTCTTTATAATATGGTGCATATATTTAGAAAATGCTCGTCTCTAGAGTTGACTAACGAGTTTATGGTCACTGAATGGCTTTTCTGAGGTAAGTGTAACATTGTGACATTGTTTTATTGATGTCTTCTTGTGGTTGAAACACTTATTGAGCGATTGCATGAGAGGATACGGATTTCGGTAGGATGTAAGGTATTTTTTAACAAACCTTCTGATGTGGATTCGTATTTAATTTTAGTGCTGTAATTAGTAGTTGAGTGGAAAAGATGATCAGTTCTCATGCGATTTGCTTGATCTGAGGCGACAACAGCGATCTGGCACATTAAATAGTGCCAAAACTTCATAATGAATTGGACAGAATTTTATATATTTTCATATATCAGTCTTTATATATCAAAAGTAACAAATCACAAAGCTTATTGCAAATTATTATCATTATATTTTTATTTTTTATTTCTGGGATGGGAAGCGCGCTACAATGTTCTCTTCATGCATCAACTGAAAAAACTAAAACTATGATTTTTGGGATTTAAGAATCTATATTGGTTCGATATGGCTCGATTTTAAAATCGAGAAATATACAGGGCTTGGTAAAAATTTATATATATATATATATTTTATTTATTTATTTATTTTTTACCAAGCCCTAATATTAAATGGTTTTTAAGAGCCTTTTATCAGGGATGAGCCTTAAAATGCTGGAATGATGCCTTAAAATGCTGTCCATATTGACAGCCCACTAGGTTTTGGAACAGACCTGTGTGCCCATGAAGAGTCTTACATAACTACCAATATAACTCTTGTAGTGAATTTAATACCTTTTTTTACTCATTTGTTTGTCCTTGAGCTAATATACTGGCTCTGCTCCAAACTCTCCAGCTGCCTACCTAGAGAAATCATAGGCACGCCAACACGAAGGCTGCTCCAAACACTATGCAGCAAAATGATTTACCCAATACCTTGTTTTAGCCAACATCTATTGCAGCATATCATGAAGACAATCTAAGAATGCATTACTTTAAAGGGGTCAAATTATGCTTTTTAATGTTTTTTCTTTAGTGTAATGTATCAGTTTTTTCACAATCTACAAAATTACAAAGCTTTTTTATTCTATTTAACAGAGAACATTGATCTAAAATTCCTCGATCAAAGTCCAGATATTAAACCTCAAACGTCCATGTCACAATGTGAAATATTAGCATAATGCCCACTCAAAGGCACGCACAATGAAGGCAAGTGTTGTCTGTCATGTCACTTTATATGGAGCACTTTTGCTTTCTGGAGTTAAGATTGATTTATAAAGCTGTTCCTGAGCAGTACAAATGTAACTTTGCATCCCATTTATCACTTAAAGAACACTTTAATTGCTTTATTACCACAGCAAAAACTCCTAATAAAGTTCAAACATTATCAAAGACAAATGAACAGACAAAATAATAGAAAATGTACAAATAGGTAGGACTATTATTAGTATTCAGGTATAGAGATTTTATGTGAATCAAGATCTGTTTTGCCTCTTCTTGCATTTGAATGGTTTAAAAACATTTTAAATTGGCAAGACTTAAAAACTTTCACTATATAATGTTTAAATGCGATTAATCTGCAAATCACGTGTTTCGTACCTTGGGTCCTGGTTCGTATCAACTACAATCCTTTATTTAGAAGCCTTGGAAGCTGAAGCTTGCGATTATGGTTAGGTGTGTTACATTTCTTTCTTTCTTTTTCTTTTTTTTTTACATTTTTTTTAATTGAAATTTTGTTCGTTTTGTTCCAACAGAATGAACAGCACAACATAAAATAAAAAGACAACAGCTCAGGCAGACCTTGCAGAAATGCACAATTCTCAATGAAAAAAAAAAAAAAAATAGGTTACAAGGGAAGGTTACATTACATTTCTGACACGCTTGAGGTGTTTCGCCAATCACAATTCACTAGGTCACCTGACTAATCAGAGGAGGGGCTTTGTATTTCAGCATGTTTCAGACACTGAGAATAGAGGAGCTCTGAACTCTGAAAAATGATGTGCTTTGAACATTAATCAAAATAATGAACTTTTAAAATAGCATAATTTGACCAAGTATCTCAAATATAAATACATTATTAGATACTTTAAAGAATTTATTGAATCTTATTAAATATGCTCTATCCAAATATATGTGCATTTTTTGTGCTTATTAGAATAGTGAGTTGTTAGCTTAGCAACAGTTTGGAAGAGAGTGTGAGGTTACCTTTTATAGCGCTACCTGGCTGATCGTGTTTGTTGCTTTTGAACTCACGGGGTCAGTATCAATAGAGTTAGAATCGCATGAAGTATCCACAGACTCCGAGTTTTCATTATATTTGGAAATGAATGATGGCGGTTTAGATCTGAAGGTCTTGTGTCCTAGTTCATAAAGCTCTCGAGACACAAGCTGCTTGCAGATTAATTTGAGATCGCCCAGTGTGATGTTTTCTGCCTCCTTTGCCTATCCTCTCGGTTGCTAATATATCTACTTTATTGCAAAAAAATAGCCCAATCTAGTGATTTGGTTGTGAATTAGGCAGCCGTTGATTTTTGTGTGCATCCAACAAGGACCGTGCAAAAGTAGTGACAACACTAGTATCCTGCTCCACCTAGCCAATGAGGTTATTGAGTGATTTCCCTTCACATGTGGTTCTTTGGCTTTGACGTAATAATTCAGTCTTTCCGATAGATGCACGAGTTATTAGGGCTGCTGCGTCTCCCTGCAGGGTTTGATGAATTTTTAAGAGCCTGGTGTGTTTCTATGGCAGCACAGGAGTGAAGGATCTGACTGAAGCTGCCATCTGTGGAAACGACAGGACCAGACTGTGCAGCAGATCCTAGATCAGTCTATGTTTATATAGTATTACAGTTAAGCTGCGGGTTTTTTATAGATTCTTACGAGAGAGGAAAGAATATGGCTGATCTATTTGAGCATAAGCATCCGCTGACCTACTACTGTCAGTATGATGGGCTGCATGAGCATCGTCATGGCAACAGCATCTGGCTTATGTGTGTTTTCCAGCTGGGTGTCAGCAGTAGGCAGAACCTCCTGCGGGTGGGTTTAATATATGCACCGCTTGGTCACTGTCTCCTAAAGCTCTTAAAATGAACAAATTGAAATGAGCGCTTGCACAGAGCTGACCATCTTCAAATATTTATGTATTTCTCCCGGAGCACAGATCAATATAAGCAAGCAACCGCATTATGAACAAAATGTTAAAACGTCTGTTGTAATGGTCTCCTACACAAGGCAAGGAGAGAGCATGAAACTGTCTTTAGGACACGGGCCAAATAAAAAGCTAATTTAAATCCGATTCAACAAATCCTTAAGAATAAATTGTAAATGTTTTACATGCACTACTCTAACAGTCACCATGGATGTATTTATTTGTTATTGTGAAGTGTTGCAATTTAAAATGACTTTTCTGTTTTAGTATTTTTAAAAATGTGATGGGATTATTATTATTTTCAGCATTATTACTCCTGTCTTCCACTTGATTCTTCAGAAATCCTTTTGAAATCAGGGTTTCCGCGGGGTCTTAAAAAGTCTTAATTTCAAAATCACAATTTAAGGCCTTAAAAATTAATCTTAAAATCTTAATTCATTTAAACGGGTCTTAATTTTCCTACCTCCAT